GGTAACTTAGTTGATTGGCTGGTTGTGTGGTAGGTTTGGTTGATCGGTTAGTTGTGTAGTGGGTATGGTTGACTGGTTAGTTGGTTGCTGGGTTGACTGATGGTTGGATGGTGGGTCTGCAGTGCTGGAGATTGAGACCAGGACTCTGTTTATGCCACATAAGCACTTTCCCTCTGAGCTATATCCTAGCCCTCAGCTTTTATGTCCCTTTATAAATGGGCCACATGCCTGTTTCATAGCAATGGGTCAGAGGTCAGAGAAGGAGGGCTTAGGGCCATGAAGGTCACCTCTACATACATGGACAGACTTGCCTCAGGCAATGGTTAGGAGTTGGGACTCAAATGCCCCACTCTGCAGGCCTGACACTACTCAGTGCCCTCTGTGGGACACCAGGCAAGCAGCTGCAAACCTCTGACGTATGTCACCTTGCCAGTCAGAGGCAGCACCGATAGTGTCTTGTTGCCTATGATCTTGTGAGGTTATGGCTGAAATGAGGCTGAGGTGAGTGCCACTGAGCACATGGTGGAGTGTCACTAGCTGTCACACGAGCGCTAGCATTGTTTTGCTATGTGCGGCTGCTTCCGGTGGGTGTGTATCCCAGGTGGACAGTTCACCAAGTACAGGGGAAAAGTTCTAATGGGCAGAATCATCACACACAAGCCCCCATCTCCCGCAGAGGACAGAGGCTGGAAGAGCCTGGGCCTGGGTTGGGATCCATTCTGTGGCTCTTCTTCTCCCTCCCAGCCCTGCTTCTGCACGTTTGTCACCATTGTGCCATGGATGGTAGGTCTCTGCAGAGAGCGTGTGTGGCTTATGTGTCTTGGACATCCTGGCATCTGGAAGGGTGTGCTTGGCTTCTCTGTTCGTGCTGTTGGCGCGGTACAGAATACTGGCAGATGGCTTGTAGCATGTGCCTGCCTCCAGTGAACTTGCCAGTATGTGTTTGTAGTAAGACACAGGGTGTGGATGCTGGGCAGGGGCATCAGGGAAGGCACGCTCTGTCCTTCTCATGTGTCACACCAGAGGCCCAGTTGGTATCTATTCTGCTCACTTGTTAAGAAATCCCAGATGTGGGGGCTGGAGAGATGGCTCAGCGGGTTAAAAGCACTGGCTGTTCTTCCAAAGGACTTGGGTTCAAATTCCCAGCACCCACATGGTAGCTCACAACTGTCTGTAACTCCAGTTCCAGAGGATCTGACATCCTCACACAGACAAGCAGACAGAATACTGATGTACAGAAAATTTAAGAATAAATAGATTATCTTTAAAAGAAAGAAAGAAAGAAAGAAAGAAAGAAAGAAAGAAAGAAAGAAA